CGACGATGCCGCCTAGCCGGGTCATGAAGCGCCTGCAAGCAAACCACCCGGCTCAGAGAGCACCGAGGACTCCACAAACTAAATTAAACTTAGTTCTTGCCTGGCCTCCTCTATTTTGAGGGACACACATTGCACAGGTCGCCCATGACCTCACCTGGAAAAGTTGTGCCTCTCTTTTGTCAGAAGAAAAATCTGCCAAAATGAGAGAATCAGAATGTCGCTAAGAATCTTGGGCAAGTGAGAATTTGTGAGGGCTTCCCCTTAGGTGGAGGCTAAGGAAGTGGATGAGGTGCTCTGTAGTATGAGCTCAGCCATCTGCAGTCTGGATCCCTGCTCCTCCCAGGCCCTCCAGCCAGCTGGTGGGGGGTGAGTGGCAGTCAGTGCTTCAATGCTTCGTTGAGAGAGGTGTGACACAGCTTCTGCTGGGGGATGAAGACGGTGTGCGCGTTCCCGAAGAAGCCCTTTCTGAATCTGGCTATTTTTGACTGCCCAGAATCCAACCTTCCTTTTTGAAGGAAAGTTGTTGAGAAGGTGATGGCGATCCAGCTGCAGAGGAACCTACAATAAATGGATTATCTGGACCCCTGCCTTTTGAGATTCAAGCCATCATGGGATGGAGAGAGAACTGGTGGCTCTGGTTGGTGACCTTCATCAGGACCTGGATGGGGAAACACTGAGGCTGAGAAACAAGAGAGTTTCAGCTGTTCTTGCAGTATCCGACCTGGCCTACCTTAAAGTGCTGATTCTTATGCAGTTCTATATAGCACAGCAACCCCAGGATACATCAGGGATCACCTTGCCCAGATCAAATCTGCTGTCCAGCTGGTCATCTAGGAGACCTCTGATGAGTGCCCCTTCCCCCCACACACACACCAGGAAGTACATGGAGTTTGAGTAAGGATGAAGGCCTTCTTTGTTGTGGCCCCCATGTGTTGGAAGGAACATGCTTCCTCTGGAGGTCCATCTGCCCCCCCTCCCTTCTTGCATCTACCAAGTACTTTTCCACCCATGCCTGAACTGATCGTGTGTATTCATCTTATGTATACAAGGAGATTATTGGCTGTTTGGGTTTAGTTTCGCTTTGTATATTTAGTTTATTTAGTTTCGCTTTATAAATATGAGTGGACGGATGGGCGGGTGGATGAAAGAATGCATGAACTTGGCCCACAAAGGGAAAACAATCCAACTCATAATTTTGAAAACCTCAAAGCTGAGCCAGGCCTAAATCGAACAGCAGCACATCATCCCCCTGGGAGCATTCACGGCTGGCAAAATATCGGATCCGAAGCATCTGCCACCTTCAACCCGCTGCTCAACACGCTTAAGCAACCTGAACTGAAGGCTGGCGACCCACAGCAGGCCTGAGATCAAACCTGACTTTAACTGGGAACGTGTCGATGTCTGATGCGCAGGCTGAAAACGCAGAGCAAAAACCACCCGCCGAAGCTGCGCCTCAGTCTGGGCAAACTCCACCTCAGTCGAGCGGGGCAGCGTGGTTGGCCGAGCGGATGCAGACCTCCGGGGCACACAAGCCAAGCCGCATCACGGAAAAAGAAGGAGCCGAACGGAGGACGGGAAGGAAGGGAGAAAAGCTCTCCGGGGGGGTGGGGGGTGGAAGGATGAATGGCGGGATTGTTGTCCCCAGCAAGAAAGGGCTTTTCACAAATGCCGGGAGGTGACCGGAGTCTCTTCTTCCACACCCCGAAGGGAGCAACTGCTTTCTTTTGGCAAGGCTTCCCAGCTCGGAGGGAGAAAGGCGGTTTTATGTCGCGAAGCGTCTGTTCTTTCCTCCTCGGCCTGAAAGGCCAAAGGGATGCTGCGGCCGGCCGGGGTGAGCGGAGCCTCCTGTTTGCCCTTCCCTTGTGCTCCCCGGCAGCTGGGCAATGCCAGGGAAAGGATGCTGGGCATGGGCGCAACTGGGCCCTTTCAGGCTCGCAAGAGGAAAGGCAAAAGTCTTGCCTCGACCCCTGGTGACTGCAAGGATGTAGCCCTGTCATTTTCCTGGCAATAATACAGGAGGGGGTGGCCACTGCCTCCCCCACAGCTTTTTCTTCTTTACTTCCCAGCCTAGCCTACAGTCCCAAGATTTCCTCGCGGTCCTCCAGCCAACCCAGGTCTGGCCCTATTTCGATTTTTGATCTCAGCCAAGGCTGAGAGCGAATAAAAGCTGTACTTTGATTATGTCTGGTTTTGCCTCCTATGAAGGAGATGTGGATGAAGGCCTGAAGGGGAGGAGGCCTGAAGTAACAGTGGCCGGTATTAGTGTAATTCTGGCAGTTTGGCCAGAAATTCCTGGCGTGTCTTGTTGGCGACTTCCTCCTGAGTAGGGAGGAAGGCAGAAGACGATAATCTTCCTGTGATGACGTGATGCCCAGCAACATGGGAGATGGGGGGCACTTCCCCATAAGTTGTTTGCATGACTCCTGGATTGATTCTGCGCCCCCATGTCCTCACATTGCTGTCTGAACTGATTTACTCCTGTTTTTCCATGGCAACCTCTGGAGCAATGCAGAGCTGGTGGGAAGGGTGAGGCCATTTTCCCATTGAACAGAACTCTTGTCTCACTCTGTCCAAGATTCTGAGCTTCACCCATTCTTCTGAGGGGTCCTGTAAGTGGAATGCTGGCTTGGCAGCTTTGCATCTTCCCCTCAGTAGATCAATAGGACAAACACCTGGGTGTTTCCAATAGAAGAGAATCTCTGTAGCTCAGGGTTGAACTGTGGCATTCTTGGTGCTCTCTGACCTGGGTTGTTTGCTTGCAGATGTTTCATTACCCAACTAGGTAACCTCATCAGTGCGAGTGATGTTGATGTTGCACTGATGAGGTTATCTAGAACGTCCCGCTCAGAGAGCACCAAGAACTCCACCTGGGTGTCTAACTCTTGTCTTTCCCTTTTTGCAGAGAGGGGACGATGGGATTTTTGTTTCTGCAGGTTCTCTCACCCCATTCCACTCAGGAGAGAGAAGAGAAAATGAATTCAGATAAAGAAATGCTTGGCTTAAATCAAAATAAATTAAGCTCATGTCATTCCTTTCTTCTACTAAGAAAGCAATCTAGTAAAGAGAGAGAGAGAAAAGACCAGTCTGGCAAGGCTTATTCTAGACAAATCCATACTAATCTCTAATTAAAAAAAATAAGTGTTTGAAAATAACTGCTTACCTTGAAACACCATCTGAGCCCTTAAGTTCTTTACTTTCCTCCCTAGAGTTTTAAATCGGTGGTGATGCGGTTTTATCTGTTCTTTGCCATACTGTTTTGCTCCACATGGAATGTGTAATTGTTACTGGGCTCGACAGCTCTTGAGAACCATTCTGGCCCTTTCCGCTTCATGGACCAACGGTTCCCACTGGCACCCGCTGGGCTGGGCTGGGCTGGGCTGGGCTCCTCACAGCACCAATCGCCAACTACCGCCTTTTGCATTCGATCTCCTTCAGGGATCCTCTGCCCTGTCTCCTCTTCTGCCTTTTTCTTCCGAAGGAAAAGTTTCAGAGACCCACCCCTACAGAGGAGACACAGCTCCGATTGCAGGGGCTGCTTTCCCCTTACTCCTCCCCCCCCCGCCCACTTTTAAAACATTTTCTAGGTGAGTTAAGCCTTCCAGACTTGTAATCATGGGTACTTTGTTTCCTTCCTTCTGAAACTATCTGAAAAATCATGAGCTTTTAAAGGGGGGTGGGGGGGCAGGAGGGCTCAGGGATCACAAAGAAGAGATTGCGAACCAGATGCAGGTTGTCGCCTCCGGGTGACCCACCCAACAATACACGTCGCATTTCCAAAAAACCCGGGACGGCACCCTTTGGTCTGGTGACATGTCGAGGTGTGCTCCAGAAGCTTATCGAGCAGGACAGCGGACTCCCCGCCAGCCCTCCGAGGGTCTGCAAGTCAGGCCCTGCTCGGCCCTCGCCATCTCCGCTCATGCCACGCGGCGGAGACCCCGGTTCAGTTT